ATGTTGTGGGGTTGTTAACCAATGTCATAAAAGAACATGTGTACTACTGTTTCATGAGAAACTACCTGTTCTGTAAGCCTTCACCTGAAGTACAATAAAAAAGTATATATATATATAAATAAAAATAATAATAACACAGAGTGACATTATAAAAAACTACACAACAGTTAAAAGAGCTCAGTGGTGCAATGGTTAAGTACTCAGCTGCTAACCAAGAAGTTGGTGGTTCAAACCCACCAGCAGCTCGGAGGGAGAAAAGACCTACCCATCTGCTCCCATAAAGATTATAGCCTAGGAAACCCTATGGGGCAGTTCCACTCTGTCATATAAGATTGCTATGAATCGGAATTGACTCCACGGCACACAACAACAACAAACCACGCAACAGTTAAAGGGCCTGCAAGAAATATCTAAATTTAACAGTCATTATTACCTTTAGGGAGGGAAGTAGGATAGAAGCACGGTCGACTATAACTTCTACTTTATCAGTACTTTATGAGTTTTTAAAACACAAAAATTTGTGGTATTAACAATAAATATTATTTTAAAGTAAATTAATTTGGATTGCCAGAAAAGAGCAGAGAAAATTCTGGTCCAAGACACCAGAGAAATAGAACAAATTTTCCTAGGAAAACCCTAGAAAATTTTCAAATCCAAAGCCAACAAATGCAAACAGCACTGGAGGTTCTTGGGAAATCACCAAGGTAATTTTTACAAGAATTTAGAAAAGCTGGAAGCAAATTCTTTTCTCCTTAATATAAATAGAGTCATAAGGAGCTATGAGAGAGGCCAAACACATCTTGAGGGTAACTATGATCTCTGCAACAGCCCCGGGGGAAAAAGAGAGTTAGCTCAGGAGGTCAATACTCTGGGAGCTAGCAAAATGAAATAAAAGGAAGTAATGGTACAAGAAGCCAGGGATTCTGACAGGTGGTTGGACTGGAATGCGAGTCTCTCTAGCACATTTAACTCCCACAGAAAAGAAAGACACTTGCCCTCTGGCAACTAATGCTAAAGCTGATGGATCTTCCACCCCCTTTATCTCAAAAACAAACAGAAAAACCAGTGGTACATTTTTTGGACTAAGATGCTCAATTCTTATTAACTAAATGCAAAGACTGAATGCATTTTTCCAATTTATTTGATGAAGTAACCTTTCACTAGTTTTAAAATGTAAAATGAAAAACAGAAGGTGGATTAAAACCAGCAATATAGGTTAATTGTTACTTTTCAAATGCTTGGAGTTGAGGGAAGAGAATATTAGATATTCTCCAGAAAATATTATTTTCAAGAAAATTATTGTAAGAAATTATTGTAAAGGTATTATTTCTTTAAAATTCAATTGTTTGAGATGGGGAAAAGGGATGAAATTAGAAGGCATAATGATACTGACATGGAAAGACAATCCATAGCTCATAAAAACTTCCCTAAAATTGTGAGAACGCCTCAAGATCTAAGGGAATTTCTCATGGATCAACTTTTTTAAAAATGTTTTATTCTCTAACTGAACATCTACATATATATGCCAGTTTCTGCAAATCAGAAAAACTTGTTTAACAGAAATAGAGCAATCATGACTATTTTATCTGAGTATAGATACTATCTATCCTGAAATAACTGATTTCCTACTAAATTTGCAAATACTCAGTACCTTTATCTCAAGAACCCACATAACTAAAATAAGGCAATGGAAAGAAAAGGAGAATTAGGAAAATAAGCAAATGAGGAAGTATTTTCAACAAAAAGTACTTACGGAGTTCTTATTCCACATTTTGATAATTCGAGAGTCTGCAGACAAAATTAAATCTAATGATTCCTGGAAATGAACTGACTTAATGGGCAGACCATAATGGTGATCCTTAACTAGCAATGGCTTATCAGATCGAAGATCATATAATAAAACCTAAAAGAAAAAAAAAAAAAGAGTTACTTCTGCTTAAACTAAGTATTTTATCTTAAAAACAAATACAGACTGAGGGCATACTATGCACCAGCACTGTCACAGTAACTAACATAAAGAGGGAAGAAAGGCAGAATAAGATACCCGTTACCGGCAAGTAGAATGAAGACAGTCTTGGTAAATTCAAGACAGACGGTGTGGTAAGGCTACGACTATTGTGGAGGGGGTCTCTTCTGACCCCCATCCTTAGAGGCAACAGGGTCTGGGGAAGCTAGGTTTTAGTCCCGGATGACAGATTCCCTCCTGACTCTGTATGATGGGGGAAGTAAATCTACTGGAGGCAGTGTCTTATATCCCTTCTGGGAGTACGGAAAACTTACAAATGTGTGCACTCTTCCTTGATACCTGTTAATGAAGATGGGACTTAGAGGGAGCCACTCATAGAAACGGACATTCAAATCAGCCTTCCTCTAGACAACTATCATTTCTTAACTATGACTAGGAGATAGAGAATTCTAAGTTTTCTGCTTACTATCAATACTAGGTTTATTCCATTCGGTTACACCAGTATGCGGAAGGACAGATGGCAGATGCGTGCAAGCGTAGATGGGTGGGTGGATAACTGATTTGCTGTTAAAATAATTAAATGGAATAATACATGTGAAAACAGCCCAAGACAAAGCACATAGTGAATGTTCAGTAAGTGTGGGATTTTAATATATATCTAATTTAATCATACTCAAATATATATTACTCTTTGAAAAGTTGTAGAGAACTTAGCCACTTGTCTTCTATCTTTTCAAATTGGTATTTCCAATTTCCCGACTCTTATGATTCCTTACACATATAATCCAATTTCTACTGGGTAAGTCCTTAAAGTCAGCATGAAGTTAAATGCTTACAGGACAGAATTACACAGAATTTTTCACTTAATCCAAAAGAATCAACAAGTTCTTTTCCATAAATAAAAATAAACTATTTTTATTTCATTGATATTCAAATTATTTAAATGCTTGGTTTTTCTTTTTTTTTACTGCCATTGGAAGCTTTTTCACTTTGTTGAAGAATCTGAACCTTGAGTAGAAAGACAGACCTGTGGACTGTAGGAACTAATCCATCTCTATCATTTAAAAAAAAAAAATTATCACACACAGATAAATCTGTCCATTCTGGCCACAGTCCTCCAGTAAGAAAGTGGGGAGTAAAGGGAAATGGTAAATTTTAAGACAGCAAGTGCCTTCTTGGACTCTGTTTTCTCAAGGGGCTTGCCTGCTGGGAAGGGTCTCCTGCTGGCCTGTATTAGACAATAGGAAATAAAGCCAAATGCCTAGGGTCTATTATCTTTTCAGGGATTTACAGAAAAAAAGAAAAAATAATCAAAATTAATACATTTAATTAAATGTAAAAAAGAATGATCAGACTAATTCTCTGCAACTATTTCATTCCTACTCCTCAGACTAGCATTTTCTAAGGTGTACTCTGCTAACAAGGTGCCCTGGTGGCACAGTGGTTAAAGCACTTGGCTACTGACCAAAAGGTCGGCGGTTCGAATCCACCTCTGTATAGAGAAGGATGCGGCAGTCTGCTTCCGTAAAAATGTACAGCCTTGAAAACCCTATGGGACAGTTCTACTCTGTCCTACAGGGCCGCTATGAGTTGAATCAACTCGACGGCAGTGGGTTTGGTTTGGTTTTTGGTTTATTCTGCTAACCATTCATTATACGGCATGTAGTTACTGGTGTTATATGAAAAAAAAGTTCCTCGGGCAGGTAAATCTTGGAAATACTTTTTAAACACATCTCTTGTCTGTAGGAATTCTCAGAGCCTTCAATATGTATTTCAATGCACTATGAATCCCTAAGAGTGGGAGTTTGGCAGAATACCAAACTTTTTTGACCAAAGAACTCTGTTCCACACTCTCTCGAAAATGCTGTTCCTAACCACTGCCAAGAGAACTGAGGCCTACCTGACTGCAGCTCCAGCTCTAGAGCCTCTGAGACCAACCACACCAAGGCCAGAATCAAAAATTCTCAAGGTGCTAGAAGAAGCTGACATACTGGCATACCCTCCTCACTGTGGCCTCAACAATAATGCTTCATTTTTCAGCTCACCTGGTCAGCAGATGTATGGATGTTTCCACCTTACATACAATCTTAATTTCCACCTCAAGCAAACTTACCTGCCCTGTGGATGTTCCAACTGCCATGGTCAAGGCGCCATTGAATTTCAAAGCTGAGATTGTTGGTAAACTGTTTATCCTGAAAGGCAGAATATTTGTGCTCCATGTATATAAGGCCAAAACTCTTTCCAAGTAACAAGCTCATTATTAATTTTCATTTCAAATCTCACCGGGAAAATTGTGTTTCTAGCCTTCTGTTTATAAGGTAACTGCATCCAAACTTTCATAACAAAAATAAAAAATAAGCTTAACATACAAATGTAATCTACTTTTTAAAATCTGTAAATTATCTTCTTGAAAAAATATAAGAAATAGTCTCAAGCAGCTACAAACAAACAAAAAAGTTACTGGAAAACGTAAAACCAATTGAAAAGGAACAGTATAATATCTTCCATTTTAATTAAGCCAGAATAAGGTATTTACAGAAATACCTTTTTTTTTTGGTTTGTTTTTACAAAGAAGTAATTTTATATTTAGGCATGAGCATATTCATTTCCATTTTAAAGTTTTAGTCATGTCAAGCTTAACTAAAAGCCTAGTCCCCGATGGGAACCCTAGAGCCTCTGTAAGTACCAAAGACAGAATGAATAGTTATGGCTACAACTCTGATATGCTTCTCATTCACCAATAAGGAGTATCCGTACAGAAAGCAATGATCTATGGTGGAAAGAGCGCTAGATGAAACGTCAGAAGAGACAATAGCTCTGGTCTCAATATGTATTGTCTGCGGGTCCTTGGACCAGGACTTCCAATCCAGGTTGCTGACTATCAGTATCATCAAGTCTCTTATGCCACCTAAAGTCTCAGCCAGTAACTACACTGATGCATCTGTCTGGAATCTTGTGGCTCATGTCCACGTCATTTTTGCTCAAGTACTCTTCAAAATGAACCTTGGAATCGTATTTCAATACAATACTGGTTATTTTTCTCCACTTATTCAAGCTTTGGTTTTTAATAAAATTTTGTCATTTTCTTCAGATAGGTACTTCCTAAGTTTATCCTTCAGTTATTTTATGATTTTTGTTGTTAGAAATGAAAACTTTTTTTTCATTATAATTTTTCTAACTGGATATTGCTGATAAATGCCAAAGTCACTGATTTGTGTACATTTATTTTGTAACCAAACAACTCTCATATTAGTTCTTAGAGTTCTTCAGTTGATTCTACTGGGTTTCTCAGGCACAAAATCATATCATCTGCAAATAATGATAAGTTGTCTTCCCCTTTCCAGTATTAACACTTATTTCTTCTCTTCTTATATTGGCTCCATCTTCCAGACCTTTGTTAAATAACAAGAGGTAACAGCTTATGTTTGTATAGGGAAAAAAATAAGCATAAAAAATAAAGTCAGCTGAGATTAAAGCAGCAAGAAAAACTACTGTTAACATTTTGGTGCACTTCCAGATTTTTTTCCTATGATTATACATACGTGTTCATTTTTTTCTTATAAAAATTTGATAAAACTCTATATGCAACTATATAATTTGTGTTGCCACTTTACAGTATATTATGAACATCCTTCCGTTGTAATAAATATGCTTCTGGAACATAATTCTTAAAAGCTGTATAGTATATATGCCATTGGTATACACCCTCTCCTCACTTATCGACATGATTAGCTTCCAAAGACCAGGTTGTTATGCAAACTCAATGATAAATGAAAATGGAGGACGACCACATCAGATCACAAAATGGAGGATGACTACATTACTACATAACTGCCAGGTTACATCATTACATAACTGCCAAACCACTGAGAATCATGGCCCAGCCTAGGTGACACACAGCCTTAACCATCAAAGCCAGCGTTCCTCTCACCTTGCATCTCAGTGTTCGTTACTGCCCAGCGCACATCATTAATGTGCAAAACAGTTGGATACCAGATGTTTTACTACCGTTGTAAGTACCAAATGTCAGATATCGAGATAATCGATAAGTAAAAAGGTGTAGTACATATGCCATTGATGCATATTTTCTCATCTATAAAATAAATAGTACATGCACCAGAGGGTTGTTGTGAGAATTAAATAAGTTAATATATGTAAAGAACTTAGAAAAGTACCTGGCAAATAAAAAGTGCTATCTGTTAACTATTATTTCTACCAAGCTTTATTTAATCAATATTGCTAAATATCTAGGTAATTTCTATCATTTCAATATTACTAACAACATGGTGTTGGACACCTTGGGCTAAGGAGAGTGGGAGGATATGAACTCTATCTACACTGGCAGAAGTTTAAACTGATGTAAATTTTCTGGAAACAACTCAGCACTGTGTATCACAAATCTTAAAAACATGAACTCTTTAACCCAATAATTCAATTTCTATAAATTTCCCTCAGGAAATAATCACAGAACTGAAAACAGATGTATAGTAGTAAAAAACTATAAATATTCTTCATGTACCAAAGGCGTCTAGTTACCTATATCTGTCTGTGAGTATGCAGTGATTTTTTATTTTTTTTGTTTTTACAAAATAATAAAATTATTTTTAAAAATAAATCAAAAGGGCCATTTTCTAACCACCATTAGAAAATGCCACCACCAAGGAAAAAAAAGAGACCACTAAAATGTTTGTGAATCAATATTATACTTTTAAAATACACATACAAAATAAATACCCCCATGCTTCTAAAGATCACAGTCAAGACTATTTTCTCACATCTCTTCCTTATATTTTCTACAATTTGACTTCTATCACAGTTGTTAAATTTATAGTAGAAATAGTCTTAGACATATTAAAAATAACCCCTGGTGGCCTGTTTTCTCAAATGACTTTTCAAGACAACACAATTAATGACAGAACTTGTACTAGAACCCAAGTCTCTCTATTCCAATTCAAAGACAAGTTAATGTTTAAGAATGAGAAGAAAAAATTTTAAAAAACCTGTTTCCTAAATATCTTTCACTTATCGATTATCTACTTTCTAAAAATGAGCACGTTTCGGATTCATTTTCTTTTCATGCCCATATGATGCAATAACTGATGTGCATTTTCTATTGGTTTATTCTATTAACAAACGTAGAATAAGTAAATTTTCCAATTTAAATTGTTTAATACACTATACTCCATACCATGATTAATAAAGTTTGTTCATTAATACTACTTTAATAAAACTCAACAGTCAGAAAGGAAATAACTTCCTATGCTCACTTTTATTGTTATAATTAAAGATGAAAAAAATAATTCACTCATTCATTACTTACCACACAATGAAAAATGTACACAGGCACGGAACATCTTTCTACTTTGGTGATTCTTAACTTTTTTCTAGGTTAAGGATGCTTTACATAGACCGGTTTTTTTTAAAAAGAAAGAGCTACAGATCCTGTCCCCCAGAAAAATGCAAATCACATAAAATTTTTCAATAATTGAGAGGGTTCACAGTCTTACTGTAGCTACCCACCAAACACCCCATCTCCCATATGATAAGATAAATATCTGATCAACTGAAATGATTATATGCTAGTAAAATCACATTACTGTGCATATTAAGAACCCAGAGAAAAGGCACCCTTGAGTTGATTACAGCAAATAATCCCATGTCAAGGATCTGACCAGGCAAGTGATATATCTGTATATGTGTTAACATGAGCGTAAAAAAAAATATGAAAGACTATATACCAAACTGCAAAAAAACAACCATCTCTTGTGAGTGGGGTAAAGGACAGGGAACTCATATTTTTTACTTAATTCAATCTTATACTTTGTTTTAGAGTTTTTTTCCCAGGTGTGCTTTACTTTTCTAATTGTTTTAAATCTAGGAATTAGGAAAACAGGAAAAAGAAAATATTGAAAATGTTCGCTTCTCGCCACATTATAATTCAAAGCACATCTTCTTGCTTCCTAGTTGGGATGGAGATGGATTCCTAGTTCTATCACTAGATTTGACAGAATTGGAAATATAAATTCCAGCAGTATATTTGTTTTAAGAAAATTCTACTGCCCCTTAAGAAATAAAGTATTCTATGTAGTACTACAGACAGTAATTTTATCTGGCTTATCTACTTAGTGACTTTTTACAGGAAAGGATTTTTAAATACAATAATCCCCAAAATGTAACTTCAGATACAGATCTTAAGGTTTTTGTCCTTTAGCAATTTATTTTATCGTATACGGTATTTAGTATATTGATACATTTGCTTAACACAGAAGCTGATGAACATTTACATTGCATTTTATTAAATTAAACATTTAACTTCTACTTACTCTGAATCCGCTGTGACGCTACTTAATGCACAATCTAAGAGGCCAACTCTATTTCGAGTTCTTGGGTCCCAGCACTCCACTCGACCCTAAACAAATTTTTTAAAAATCATTTTAAATAACAGCAGCTATTAGAAAAATTTTAGACAAATACAAATTTAAAAACACTTGCTAACAAGGATTATCTCAAGAGGAATAAAAATTTAACTTTTTGCCTTATACTCTCTTGCCCCCCTCCTCGCTGCCATCGAGTCAATTCCGATTCATAGCGATGCTATAGGACAGGGTAGAGGGTTTCCAAGGAGCAGCTGATGGATTCGAACTGCCAACCTTTTTGGTTAGCAACTTCTGAAAGGCCACAGAGCAAACTATGAACAGCGTTTACTGAAGGACACTGTACTGGAATATAGGAGAACAGAATTACTCTTCCCACTTTGAACTCTCCTGTATTGCTGGATTTTGTGATGATAAAACAAGCATACACAAAGGAAAAAATTAGTTAATATATTAGTTGTCTTAAAAGACCTTAAATATACTTAGAAGTTTGACACTATTAATATTTCAATAGTATTACAAATGTGTATATCACAAAGACAAATAGAGAAAGAGAAATGTTATAAATCACACAACAGGTAATTCCAAACGGTCTAGTGTAAATCTATCTCTTTTCAAAGTAAGTTAATAGATTTTATGGCCATAAAAAAGAAAAGTCACATTTCAAAAACAAAATGGTACACAGATAAGTTCCAGAATAAATACAAAATATTCTATTTTAACCACACTGGCTTTCTATGACCTAAATTTTAATACTTTTATTGCTAAAGCCTCCACTCTTATGTACTTCAAAAAGCACAAAATGCAAGCACTTACTATTTGATTTTGACAATAACACCAACTGTCACAGAAGACACGAAAATCCAACACTTGTTGTTAGGTGCTGTCGAGTCGGTTCCGACTCATAGTGACCCTACGTACAATAGAACGAAACACCACGCAGTCCTGCACCATCCTCATATCATAATTAACATAAAAATGAATTCTTTTCAAGTCTAATGTGACTACACATATTAATTTTCAAGCTTTCAATTTCAAGAAATTTCAGGAACCCCAGCCTAAAGGCAAGCACCATCTACCCACCCCTGCCAAACATTTGTACAAACACAGTACTAGTCTTAAAACAGCTGATGGAAGAGTTCTAATACATGACTTCTAACCTATAACTTCTCTTACAGAGCATGTTTCTTGATATCTAGCCTAGATCACTCTGAAAAGGCTCTTTTTAAAAACTATTTTCTCAAGGTGGGGCCCTGGTGGTGCAGTGGTTAAGAGGCTGGCTTAAGAGCTGAGCTGCTAACCAAAAGGTCAGCAGTTCGAATCCACCAGCCACTCCTTGGGAACCCTACAGGGCAGTTCTACTTTGTTGTATAGTGTTGCTATGAGTCGGAATCAACTTGACATCAGTGGGTTTTTTTGTTTTTTTCTGAAGGCAACTATTTTAAAACTTTTCCTTGGTAATCTCAAATAATTACCAAGAGAATGCTTCATTGGCCTGATTTAGGCATAACAGTATTATAACACATTCAACACACTGTTATACAGTTTATGTGCCCCATTTCACATCATAATCTCTAATACCACAGAAATAATTTGAATAAAGGAACCTAAATTATGTCCATATGAGAATGGTTTAATAAACTACAAAAACTTAGTTCAGCATTATACATACCAAACTATTGAGATGTTCATTACATACTGTTATGTTAAAAAAATAAAGATGCCAAACCATTGTAGGATATAATTTCATTTTGTAAAAAACTTTTAAATATATAATATGTACACATATATATAAGGAGCCCTGGTGGCACAATGGTTAAGTGCTTGGGAGCTAAAAAAAAAGGTCAGCGGTTTGAACCAACCTGTGGTGCCTCGGGAGAAAGATGTGGCACTATGCTTCCATAAAGATTGTTGTTGTTAGGTTACATCAAGTCAGTTCTGACTCATACCAACCCCGTGTACAACAGAATGAAAACCTGTCCAGTCCTGCCCCATCATCGAAATCATTGCTATGCTTGAGACTATTGTTACAGCTACTGTGTCAATCCACCTCACTGAGGGTCTTCCTCTTTTTCACTGACCCTCCACTTTACCAATTATGATGTCCTTCTCCAGGGCCTGGTCTCTCCTGATAACATGTCCAAAGTACATGAGACAAAGTCTCGCCATCCTTGCTTCTAAGGAGCACTCTGGTTGTACTTCTTTCAAGATAGATTTGTTCGTTTTTCTGGCAGGCCATGGTATACTCAACATTCTTCGCCAACACCATAATTCAAAAGGCAACATTTCTTCTTTGGTCTTCCTTATTCATTGTCCAGCTTTCACATGCATATGAGGTGACTGAAAATACCATGGCTTGGGTCAGGCACACCTTAGTC